TGGCCCGCGCACGGCTGGTGGCCCGGCGGATCCATTCATGCCATGGCTCCTCAAGACGACGACGAATGCCGCATATTCGTCGCAACATCCCGTTCTCTGCTGTCGTCAGAAAGCGCGTCTCGTCCGCGCGCGGCGTCCACGATCCAGCACCGTATAAGACACTGCTGCCGATGGCCGCGTCAAACAGGTTCAGTCTCCTGTACAGGGAAGTATCTGCATTCATCAGCAGCCGCTTCATGGCCCAGAACTCCCTCCACCCAATCGCAACCCGGTGCTCCAACTCTGCCTTGGTCGCGTCCGTGAGCGAAAGCATCGTGCCGAGCACTTCCAGGGGCTCTCCCTCTCACAACACATTCAGCGAGAGACCGTTGGCCAAAGCCACGTCGCCTCGTTGCCGAACGTCGGGGCGATTCGTCTGCGCCTTGCACTTCGTGGGGTGCAACTTCAAGCCGCGCTTCAGCAGCGAATCTCGCACGGCAACGACCATGCGCTTCAAGGAAATCCAGGATCTAGCGACGAGCGTCATGTCGTCTGTGAAGGCAACGTGCGTGAGGCGCGTCCCATCGACCGCTCTCCCTACCTCCGTGCCGTAACCTCGTCGCTGCCATGCAGCGTCAACTTCACCCAGCGCCTGCGTCATCACCAGGTTGAACAGCACGGGCGAAAGAGGGTCTCCCTGACGCACTCCCCGCTGCACCTCGAAGCGACGACTGTCTGTGCCTGGATCTACTTGCACATAGGCCGACATATTTTGGTAGAGCTTACGAAGAGCCGCCACCACGGCAGAATCCACGTTCGCCAACATGAGTGCATCAAAAAGCTGCGCATGATGCACTTTGTCGAAAGCCTTCTCGACGTCCCGGGTCGCTACCCAGAGCTCTTCTCCCCACTCTCCAGACTTCTCAACAACCATTCTCAAAACATGCAAAGCGTCATCACAACCCCTACCACGACGGAAGCCATATTGTTCTTCCCGCAACTGTTTCTCCACACTGTCTTTGATACGGTCGTAAAGCACAAGGCTGAACAACTTCGCCAGGACTGGGATGATCGAGATAGGTCGGTAGTTCCGTAAATCGTGCCTGGCACCTTTCTTGAAGATGACAGACAATCGCGCGACCTTCCACTCTCCCGGCGCGTCCAAAGACCCGCCAAGGATATCCGTGAAATACGATGCGATGGTGCTCAGCAGCTCCTCGTGCCCAGAGCGGAGCATTTCCGCCACCAATCCGTCATCAGCGCCCGTTCTTCCTCCTTTCATCCGTTTCAGAGCCGCTGTAATCTCCGCAGGTGTAATCGGTGAGACAGCTCGGGGTTCGCCTTGCCACTCGTCATATCCAGCTGCCTGAGCATCCCGGTACAAGTCTTCATAGAAGCAGGCGAAAGCCTCCGCGATACCTGCACCATCTGTCACCAGCTCCCCCGCCAGATTTTCGATCGACGTGGTCCTCTCGACGCCAGCATGTCGCTGTTGGATCCTTTGGAGGCTACGTAATCCTCGGCCTTGAGCAGCTGCTTCGCGGATCTCCCTATCATAGCGGCGACGTCTGCTCGTGCGGAGAGCCCTCCACAAACGTTTTGACAACGATGTCCGTCGTTCTGGGTCGTGCTCCTGCCGCCTCATAGCGAAAAGCTCAACGACATCATCGCTATGTCGACTCCCGTGCGCCACGGCCGTCTCCCCACCGCGCCGAGCAGCTTGCACAACTATGGCATTCACATCTGACAAATTCGCATGGCCTTGCGCGAGGCCATCCGTCAGCAAACCGTGGTATAGCGAGGGCTTTGCCTGGTCGTCGAGAGCAGGCTTCCACCCTCGCGTGATCTTGGCCCGGCGACGTCGAGGACGAGACTGCGCGGCCGTCCGCACCCGGGTAAAAATGGCTCGGCGGTCCGATTTACCTTCCAAGTTCCAGAACACAGAAGCATGCAATACGCTTTCGGATTTGGCCGCCTCCACGCATATGTAATCGATCTGGCGTCTTTCACCAGTGCTGTACATCTCGTGCGTCCATGCGTCCTGCCAGAGGTTTTCGAACATCAGACTCGTTGCTGTCAGTCGTGCTCCGTGCAACCAGTGCGCGAACATATGGCCTCGATGGTTACGCTGACGATGCCCGTGACCCCCGATGATGTTACCATCGTCCGCCGGGAGCTTCTGGCCCAGCACGGCGTTCGCATCGATCCCCAGGATAAACGTGCGCTTCTCGTGCCGAGCCCCAGCCAACGCGGCCTCGACCTCCATCAACTGCGCCTCGAAGATGTTGTCTGGAAATCCGCCGTGACATAGATGTGCCGTGACGAGCCTGTAGCGGCCGCCCGCCAAAGAAACGTCCAAGTAAGATAAAGAAGAGCTCACAGTGCGGTAATGCATATCGACTCCCTGCACCGCCCATCTCTTGTGAATCAAGACGCCAACGCTGCGCTTGGTCGAAGCCCGCGCCTGTGAGCAACACCACAAATGGCCAGATTCCAATATCTTTTCGGCAGTCTCCTCCGCGAGCGGCCCCTCCTGGTACAGTAAAGCATCCCACCGTGGCCCGTCGTCCAGTAAGGCAGCAACGTCATTGATCGATCCCTCCTCCATCCCATTCGCATTCCAACTAAGAATAGTAAAATCCAATGAATTCGTGAACTCCGGCCCTTGCACATCCTGCCCAGTAGCTGGAGAATCAACCAGAACACCAAAGTCCGGCTTCACCACTCCGGCCTTGCGCATGATAGAAAAGGGTACGTCCCCACACACACTCGCATACAATCCCCTTCCCCCGCCGCCCCTCCGCAGAGGGAGTCCCTACTCCACGGCGTGCAGCTCGTCGAACTTGGCCTGGTACCTGGTACCTGGTCCCAGCAGGTGCATGGATCCGTCTCTCCACTCCCCTGCCCTGCACTCCTTCCACCATACCACGCCTTTCCTGTAATTCGTGTCAATGTGCTCCTTGACCTTGGACCCGTCCCCCCCGTTGACTTCGATGATGGCCCGCACGAGCTTTCTCACTGCCCGCTCCCGCTTCGCCTCGTCGGACTCCGGGTCGCGATTCCTGTAGTCAGCGTTGCCGTAAATCTTCTGCTCCTGGTACGTGTGCGAGCTGGCCGCCCCACTTTTCAGGTAGTCCCACATCGCCTCCGGAGTCTTGAAACGAACTGCTCCGCGTTCCGCGAACTTCCGACCGTACGCGAAGACCTCCTCCACCTCCTTGGCCCCTTCACAACCTCCTCCAAAAACTTAACTATATCAGCCGACTTCGTGTCCTGGGGAAACGTTCCGAAATTCATCGTGCGATTCAATTTTTCCACCGTCTCTGATTTGCCTTTGCCCTTGCCTTTGGCGGCGCTGCCGGCTGCCGTCGAAGAAAATACGGTCCCGGACAGCCCCTCCCCCTTGACGATGTCCCTCACCAAGTTGGGCAACTCCTTCTTCATATTCTCCACGTCCGCGGAAACCTGGGTGACCGCCGCGTTGGCCGCCGTCGCCTCGTCCTTCGCCTCCTGCGCCAGCAACTTCACCGTCTGCGTGTCCGTTGCCGTTTTGTTCACCGTCCCCATCATCTTGATCATCATCCTCTGCATGCTTTGGGCCCAGTCGGGCGCCGACTCGTCAACCTGGAGATCGTCGTCCTTCTCGTCGACCCTAGCGGTCTTCCTCTCAGGCGCTTCGGCACCACTGCCATTGGCCTTCAACTTCCTTGTATCGCTCATCCTCGTCGCGACCTGTGTGGAGGCGCCGATCCGCGCAGCGAGACAGAAATAAGATGTGAGAGTAGGTTGTAAGAGAAGTAAGCTGTAAGAGAAGTAACACCTTGAGAAGTAACACCTTGAGCCAAGAGAGAGAGAGAGAGAGAGAAAGAGGGAGAGAGAGAGAGAGGGAAAAACAAATGATAGGTGGGGAAAAGGTGGGGGGAGAAAGAGAGAGAGAGAGAGAAACAAAAAGAGAGAGAGAGAGAGAGAGAAAAAAGAGAAAGAGAGAGAGAGAGAGGAAAAGAGAAAGAGAGAGGGAGAGAAAGAGAGAGAGAGGGAGAGAATGAGAGGGAGAGAGGAACAGAGAGAGGGATAGAGAGGGAGAGAAAGATAGGGTGGGGAAAAGGGAAGAGGAGGAGAGGAGAGGATTGCGAGTCACCGCGATGACATGTATACGGGCACGCGTTGCCGCGGATTCTTCGCTGGTGCGGTAACGCGTTTCCCGAAACAGTGCTGGCACTGCAGGGCCCTTGCCCCAGAGGTGAGAAATTGGCAGAAGGGATTGCAGCCTTCCGCCTGGTGGGCGCCTTTCGGGCCTCGGGGCCGCCGCCCAGTGCCTCGAGGGGCGCCTCGTGTGGGCCGGGAATTCCGGCCTGCCGCCCCTGGGGGGCGCCCGCCGGCGCACCACACAGCTGGTGCCACGCAGCTTGCACCAGGCAGGCTTGCACATCCTCAGTGTGAGGACCCACTGTTTGAGGTGCATCGCTGGCAAGCAACGGAGACACGTGCACTGTCGGTGGGGGGAGCGCTGTGTTACCGAGCATGCCTCGCGAGCAAGCTGCTGGGATGCACGTGTGCGTTGTAGCGAGCGTGCGGAACATGCTTGCTGGATTCGGCAATTGCTGGGGGTGGGCACGACCCCCTTCTGAGCAGAGCACAATTTAACACCGTTTAGTGAAATCACCGTGGAACCAGACCCGACGGGCGCGGGGCCGAACCAACGTTGGCCGCAACGCCTTCTCGAGAACCGGAGAAGGGTACAAATTCGCGGATCGACTTGGCAGAACGGGAGCTCTATCACTTTCCCGCACGGATGGGAGGGCCCTGTTCACTCCCAGACTGCGAGGCGGGGATATGTCCATTTCCACCGCCTGGGGAATGGCCGTCAAGGGACACCAACGGGCTGTGGATATAGATACTAGCTGGCCCGGGGGAGCCCAAATATGGCCATGTCCACCGCCTTCTGAGGTCCCCGAAGACCGAGCCACCAGGTAGTGGGGATGAACAAATCCCCGCCTCGGGCAAACAGCTCCCAGCTCCACCTGTCTATGCGGTGGACGACGGTACAGGGAAGCGTAAGGAGCAGCGAAGCTCCGAGCTCGTCGTCGGGCTGCTCGAGCCGCATGGGGATCATCTCCCAGCCCCTGCGGGAGTGCCTCTGGAGGGGGAGCGGGACGGTCGGGAACGGCTGCTCAGCGTGTCGCGGCGACGGCCCCAGCGGCACGCTGTGCCCTGCGAGCTGATAGCGTGTCGCTCCACTCCAGAGGAGGGGAGGATCGGAAAAGCTCGGCGCGGACAGACCGTGCTCGCTCTGCCAGGAGGAGGAGGAGGAGGAGGAGGAGGAGGAGGAGGAGGAGGAGGATGAGGAGGAGGAGGAGGAGGAGGACGAGGACAGGAGGAGGAGGAGGAGGAGGAGGAGGAGGAGAGGAGGAGGAGGAGGAGGAGGAGGAGGAGGAGGAGGAGGAGGAGATGGAGGAGGAGGAGCGAACGTCACCTGCAGGGTGCGTTCGGGCAGCTAGCTACGGAAGCGGCCGCGCGCGCGGGGCGGGCGAGGCGGCGCCGTAGCGGTGGTACTTCTTGTCGGCGGAGTGGAGGTCGGAGGAGAGGTGGTCACCGTTCTCGGAGTCGCTGGTGGCGAGGTGCTCGTCGAAGTTGCCGGCCCAGGCCGCAGGGGACCAGTCCGAGGCATTGGAGTCGCCGTCGGAGTCGCTGTCCAGGTAGCCGTAGCACTGTGCGAGGGTGTACAGGTCGTCCAGCGTCGTGATGTCCTCGATCAGGTGCTCTAGGCGGTACGGTGCTCCAGGCGGTACGGGAGAAATGCCCGTCGTGTCCGCTTCAGCTGCAAGGTCCTCTTGCTGCTGGCGGAACGTTTGCAATGCGCTCTGAACCTTCTTCAGCGAGACTTTGGGGAAGCGCTCGTCCGAGTTCAGCTTCTTGTGGGCCGAGCGGTAGCCGATGCTGCCATTATTGGTGATCAGCTCTTGGATTATGTACTGCAGCGTGTCGATGGAGGCGGGCGCGCAAGGCTGCGCGGAGTCGGCGTCCAGCGGCACGGTGAAGACAGGCTCCGCGAGCGCGTCGGGGTACTCGTCAAGGACGTGGGCGGCGTGCGGGTCGGTCAGCGGTACGCCCTGAAGGTGCACGCTGGCGATGTCCAGGTCGTCGTCGCTCGTGTGGTGAGGCGCATCGGCGGTCATGTTGAACGCGTTGGCAGGCAGCGGGTTGGACGCGAC